GCCGGAGACCCAGTCGAGAGCCACGGCGCCGCCGTCCTGCGTCCTGAGGCACTCGCGGCGGAGCCTGACGTCGGGGACGGAGCGGAAGAAGGCGGCAAAGATGGTTTCGACGTGGCGGTTGGCGGCGAGGAGGGGGAAAGGGCGGTAGGGGCGAGACAAGTGGGAGAGGGCAGGCAGGAAACGGTCGCGTGCGCCGCCGAGGATTTCGAAGGAAGGGTGGGCAGCGGCGGAGGCAGCAGGCATGGCAGCGGCGGAGGATGACAAGTGGAGGGGTGTGATTAGTGAAATGCTGTTTTTGTTGTATGGAAGAGAAAAAAGGGGTAAAGACCCCACTAACGACCTTGCCATGCCCTCGCCTTATTGGACAAAGCACACTATCTTCGTCTTTAATAATCATTTTTTTCTTTTCTGTCTTCTAGACGTCTCTGTTTACATAGCACACTGCACGTGGCCTGCTTATTTTGCACGTGGTCTGCTTATCCTGCAATTTAATTTTTGAAAACTACTGGAAAGTTAAAATATTGGTTAAAAAATTGAAAGTCAATTTTTTTATTAAAAACTAAAGAAAAATGCTGTGCCTGCTTCTCTCGATTTTTTTTTTAAGAGAAAGAAAATCATATACTTTCGTTCGCAATAATAAATTTTGTATTATAAATCATATACTTTTATTGTTCATAAATTTTGTTTTCATGTTACATCTTTGACAATTAGTTAACAGTTAGATTTAATATCTTAAGTGGGGTTCATATATATATATGTGACACATATCATTGCATTAAATAAAAGTATTGTTTATGTCTTTAAATGGTAATATTATATTGATACCAATAAATTAAAGTTGAAAATAATTTGTCATAATGATCACACATGCAAATTCTATAATCTTAGTGTCCAAAATTAGAAGAAAAATAATAATATTAATGTTGCACTTTAGTATTCTAATAGAAAGTTCTCCCAAGATGAAATAATATGAGATGAGATGAGATAAGATTGTAATATGAGACTTTTTTTTTCTTTTTATCTTATGAACACTTCTAATTATGAGTCATTTGTATATCAAGTTGAAAAAGAAAATTGTAAATTTTACATTATTTCACATCTTATCATTTATTCCCCTTCATTTACATCAAAACTAGAAAATCAATTCCTCTTTTTGTATTGCATACAAATTTGCAAGAGTTTAGAACTTGGTTCTACACTGTATTAGAAATCGCACATCATCTGATAATAAAGTTATAATAATGTATATAAGTGAAAAAACAAATTCTCATTTTACAAGTCAGTTTTGTGAGATTGAGTTGAACTCTAACCCATTTTCTAACTTGACTCCAATATCATTTTAAGAAAATAAGTTAAGAGTCTAATATTAACATTATAGTCTTGTTTCTAATCGATATGGGATCTCAAACACATTGTTATAGCACAAACATAATATAAAAAAAATATTTGGATTTGTTTTTAGTTTTTTTTCACAAAATGGTATTGTAAGACAAATACTTCACAAAGGTGTCGATGGTATTATTGTAAAGACTATAACTCATTGATATATGATAATAAAATTGTACTTAAAGGAGTTATGAAATGTATATATAGGTAAGCAAACGTTTCTTTGTTTGTGATCAAACTAATGTAATCACTCACTTGTTGTCATGGAGTTTTATTTTTATAATTTTACAGACATTGAGTTTTATATTGAGAGTTGATAGTTAGTGATTTGTCTATGTTATTATCGGTGATTGTTAAATCAAAAAACGATTTTGAATCACTCAAAACACAAGTTTTAATATTAACAAATATAGATGTCTTTGTTAAAGAAATATTTTTCATATCAAACAGTAAAACGAACTAAAATAAATGATTGGTTATGATGGTATGTAGTCTCTTAGGTGAATTGCTTTGTTTGTCTAAGACAAATGTATTGAATATAATCATTTGTGATGATTAATAACCAAATCATATTTGTTTATGTTATTCCTCGACATATCAAATGAATAAAAACTTTTTTGATACTTGAATTTCATAAAAGAATGAAGACATGTTTTTCGTGAAGTTTTAGATAAAGTCATTTGCAACTGACACACACAACAATTGCTTCCGTTTTATATCTTAAAGGTGATAAGTAGTCTTCTTGATATGATAATGAGTAATAATTTGGTGAAATGCATATAATGCTCACATTTAGTGCACTAGTGATCATTTTTTTTCTATAAGGAAAGAAAACGAACATAGATGAAACAAGCTTGTGAGAGAATAATTATTGTAAAAATTCAATTCATTTTTTTAAACTATACTTAATTTGGTTGTTCCACATCTGAAAAGTAAGATGAAATAATAAATAATTTTTTAATTTTAATTTTGTGTTACTGTTTGAAGTCTAAAAATATTTTGTTATAAAAAATATTTGGTTGTTTTAGCTTGGAAAATTTGTTATTCAAAAAATACTTTCATAGTTGTTTGAAGGGACAAGTCTAAGAATATTTAGGTTGAGTCATAAGTAACTTGTGAAAAAATATTTGTATTTGTAAAAGATAGTGAAACTTGATCAAGTTGATCAAGAATTTGATGAATTCTCCAAAATTGAGACAAATCAATATAAAAATATCATGTGTTCCCAATATTTTTCTCTTTGTCTACATTCTTAAAATCAGTTATTATTTTATTATTTTAAAAATATTAAATTTTTTATTGATATTATTAAACTTTTAAAATATTTTTCTTTCCAAAGTACTAATAAAATGCCAAATGCATGCTAGAGACTTAAAAGTGACTATAAAACTACAATAAAAAGTGAAATGTTAATTTTAATTCTAGTTTAGGTTGAGTTATTTGTAATAGGGTGAGATTGGCTGGTAATGGAATATACAAATTTAGATTAGTTGGTTTGGTAAAGTTATTATTATTATCATTATTATTATCTCACTTACTTTTAAGTATTTTTACTATAATTTTTACTTATAAAGTTTATCTTAAAATAGTTATTTATTCTTTTATATAGGATACAATCTATATTATTTGATGTGTTAATTTATTTTTAGGTTAAAATACATGTTTTTTTAATTTGATGGATTAATTATAAACTTGTTAAGATATTATTTATTTTTGTCACTTCATATGCCAAATTTTTGGGAATTAAGATTGGTATTAATTAAGAAAAAATATTATTATAAATATAACTTTGAAAAAAATAAAATTAAGACATATTTATTATTTTTAACTATATTAACTACTATTTTTTTAATCTTGATAAAATTAGGTAAATGAATATTTATTATTAAGAGACCTTGCAAACATGACACAATTAATCAAGTCTCTTTACTTATACTAATTAGGACTTGAAATCGTATCTAACTTCTCTTAAGTTTTATATATTTTCACATGAATTTGTATTATGGATGAGATATATACTTTGTAATCTAATTGAAAATTTTTAAACATGATTAGTGGTTGACTTTAATTTTGTATGAAGTTGTGTCTTACTTTAATCTATTTTTTAAAAATAAAATATTAGTGATAATATTTTAATTTGGTTTCTTAAGATATACGCATAACACAAGAAAATGTTAAAATTATAACAATATATAAAAATCATACAATATTTTATGACATTTTTATCCTCATAGCAACCTTTAAATTACTTAATTCCCTATTATAAATTATTCATTATTATTATATAAAGATGATACAATCTTTTGATTGACTCTAGTTTTATATGGAGTTATATCTTATCTTAATCTAATTTTTTTTAAAAATAAAATTAAATAATAGTGGTAATATTTTAATTTGATTTTTTAAGATACACACATAGCACTAGAAAGTATTAATTTGATTTTTTTGGTGTACACATTTTTTACGATATTTTTATCCTCATAACAGCCTTTAAATTACTCAATTCCCTATTATAAATTACCTTCTATTTTATAACTTCTTTTATTATTTTTACTTTTTTTTTAAGTGAAGGCAATTATAAATTTACATAAAGATCGATTCAGACAACTTATTTTTTATTTTTGATATATATAGACAGATTAAAAAAATGTCTATTAAAAAAAGTGAGTCAATACGAAAATAGATACAAAAATAAGTTAATCATCTTGATTTTGATTGTCAGTAAGAATGTTCATAGAATAATAAAGTCAATAAATAGTACATTAATTTTGATGAAAAAAGTTATATCCCGCAAAACCTTATTATTTTTTTTTATCCAGGTATATATTATATATATGTGTGTGAAAGGAAAAATTATGCATTTGAAAAATGTACAATTTATGGCTGTTTCATGCTTAAGGGTAATATTTTTATTTTATATAAAATAAAAAATAATTTTAAATATTTTATAATAAGCAGTATATTTAATTAAATTAAATTTCACTAATGTACTGGATACAATTTTTTTTTGACAGGTACTCAAGTAACTCAACACAATAATTATGCACTACTAAACATTTATTTTTAATTAGTAATAAGGGATTACTCTTTGAATTTTTTTAAAACAAAAATCATCTATTAATGTAATAATTTATTTAAAAAAAAATCAATTAAAGATTATGATAAAAATAAGTTTTTAAGACAACTATTATAAAAATTAAATAAACTTATCGTTATAAATTGTAATTGGATTGGAAAACAGTAGATATAATTATTTAGTCTTGTTTTATTCACGAGTCCGACCCGAGCGGTTTCATCAGGAAAAAACAAAAACAAAAAAAGAGACATCTGGGTCACTGCATTTCGCGCAGGTCAGGGCGAGAGTGTCGACCGGAACCGGATTGTGTCTGTGCGTTGTAGGGACAAAACCAATTTAGATTATGAAACCACAAACATAGATTTCGGAGATAACCAAACGCTCCCTCCTCTCTCTCCGGGTCCAATTTCAAACCCTGAATTTCGGATTCGAAATAGAAGGGATTTCCGAGATTTTAATTTAATTTTATTTTTATTTGGCGAAAAATGGAAGAGGCAAAGGCATTGCAACAGCAACAGCAACAGCAACAACAGCAACAACAACAACTTCTGTTGCAACAACAACAGCAGCAACATCAACAACATTTTCTGCTCTTTCAGCAGTTGCAAAAGCAGCAACATCAGCAACAGCAAGCAGCCGCCATTTCCCGTTTCCCTTCCAACATTGACGCTCACTTGCGTCCTATCAGACCCCTCAATCTCCAACAAAACCCTAACCCTAACCCTAACCCAAATCATAATCCCAACCCTAACCCTAATCCCATCCTCAATTTGCACCAGAACCCTAATTCCAACCACCTACCGCAGCAGCCGCCGCAACAATCGCCGCAACAGCAACAGCAACAGCATAAGATAATTCGAACGAGCCAGATGGAGCTTCAGATGGCGTACCAAGACGCGTGGCGGGTTTGCCATCCGGACTTCAAGCGACCCTTTTCTTCTCTCGAAGATGCCTGCGAGAGGTTCATTCTTTAACCCTACCTACGTGAAAACAATGATGATGTTTTCCGTGTTTGAATTTTATTTTATGCTCCTTTTTTTTATGACCTGTGCTACTATGTTTTATTTTTATGATCCCTCTATAACCCTGCTAACTGTGGTTGGCCTGCTATTGTTCTGCATGAGTTGTGCTGAGTTTTAGCATGGAAAGAAATGAGACTCTCTCTCTCCCTCTCTCTCTCTTCTTTTCCCAAATGCTGATATCTATCGTGTTTAGTGTGTGCTTTCTAAGTAAATATTAGTTCACATTAGGATGGGAACAGAAGTGACGTGCTGGCCTAGGTGGTTGTTGAAGAGGCTTGTTTAATTTATTAATGTCTTCTCCTGAAAATAGGTGGTTGATGACATATGACTTTAAGATTTATCTGAAATAACATGGAACCCTTCTCGAATTGAAAATTTGTATGTTGAGATTGTCATTGAAGCTTTAGGCAGAATTTTCTGGGGTGCCAGTGCTGTATAGAATTAATGTCTTGTTTATGACTGAAAATAATTTAGAGAGATTGGAGAAGATGAGCAGCTCATGTAAACAGTAAATACAGATACAGAGAGGCTCATTATGTTATGTATAAGAGCTTGAAAAATGGGAAATAGTTGCCCTTTTGGTTCTATTATATGGAAGTGTAATCCATTAAGTCAAAATGGGCTATGATATTTCACTCACATAGAGATAAGTCTGTGGAGCTTAGGTTGCTGCTGCACCTGGAATTTTTTTTGTTTGTCCTCCTTAAGCCAGTGGATCAGATATGTTTATGAAACAAATTATTTTCAATTACATATGAGAGCAATAACAATGAAAGCCTTACCCCTCTAGTTAAGGTTGGTTACATGGATTACATGATGTTATTCGGTTTGGTTAAAGACCAAATCTTCAGAGATATTATTTTACTATGAAATCCTTCTTAATAACTTTTTCGAATGTTCTTTCAGTGGCCTCCTTTTTACATTACTAAATACTATGCAATCTATTATTCTCATTGGTGCTTTCAGTGGCCTCCTTCATAATGTCCAGACCACCTTAACTAATTTTCTATCCTCTTTTTCGATCTATGCCACATCAATATCTCCTTGTATAAAATCATTTCATATCATTCCCTTTCTCATGTAACCACACATTTGTCTTAACATTCTCATTTATACTACTGTATCTTTGTCTCTTGTTATTCGTTTAAAGTTCAACATTCACTACCATGAAGTTTTATCAACCATATAACAATATGATAAAACTTCCCTCTAGGTTCAATAGGAACTTTGTGATCACAAAAAACCCTCTATGTCTTTCTCCATTTTAACCATTCTGCTTGTATTATATGTGTGACATCTTTGTTAATTAACCCATCATTTTGTAATGTTGATCCCAAATATTTAAACAAAATTTAGAAACTTTTGGTATGACATCTCTCATTTTTATTTTGAATTCATTTTCCTCGTCTCTTGCTAAAATTGTAATGCACATATTTTGTCATACTCCTACATAAGACAATCTTTTGCTTTCAAAGTCTGTCTCAAAAGCTCAAGTTTGAAGTTAACTATTTCTCGTAATTTCTCAATCAAAACTATATTCCTCAGTCAATTACATTTGACAAGTATGATTGAAAACTAGGGTTGAAAAATATTGGTATAGTACTTGACCTGTTGCAATGAAACAAGTTCTTTGCACGATATATTCTTGTCCTATCATATACCTAGAGAAACTAATGTTGTTGATGTTTCTGGTTGATTGTGTGAAAATAGGATGGAAGAGTTACCGTAATGCGGTTGATATACTCCTTTTCATTTCATGTTAAATTTTCTTTTTGGGAGAAGAGTCTGTAAATGTGATTATCTTGCGGTCTCGAGTTTTACAATGTTCAGTAGCAAATGGCTTTCATTTGATAAAGTTTAAAGGCAAAAACTCAAAATGTGAATTGTAGTTTTAGTGTTTGGGCTATATCTAGCTGTCGGTAGTCATCTGCTGGTGGCTAGGTGTTGACAAGTGCCTGCTTGCCTGCTGCCTGTTCTGAATTAGATTTCACCATTGCACTACCCAGACCAGAAAAAAAATTAGTTTGACTACTGTTTTTTCAATGAATTAATTTACAACTAGCAATCTTTTCTTCATGATGTTGGTTTCTGGGAAACAAAAGGAAAGTATGAAATGTTATGGGGTGGTACGTCTTAGTTTTAGCCAGGATTGCGAGTGTAATGAAAATAATGCCAAGTATTGTTGATGCCACTTGGTTTTTCTTTCATTCATTCATTTAAGCTGATGTAGGTGAAAAATCTAATTAATCTATTTGTTATATGCTTATATCCCAATAGGCTATGTATGACTAATATTAATTGAAATTTGTTTTTCTGGTGTGAATACTGTATATCTCTTCACTTGCTATTTACTCACCGCAACCTGCTCCTTATGTGGATTTGCTATGCTGCTTCAGAATACTCTCATTTGCTTTCTCCTTTGTATTTGATTTCAAGTTAAATTCAAATCCATCCTTTTGGTCTTGTGTATCGAGTAATCTTTGATATTCTCTTCTGTTATATTTGACTCTGTTATGTTTTGTTGCTCTGGTTTCAGAATTGTTTAGCTTGTCATACTGTCACCCGCTATCCTAAATTCATTTCCTTGTCATTGACCCTGTTTTTAATAACATTTAAAAGTATATATATGTATGTGTGTGTGTGCGTGTGTGTGTATATATATATATATATATATATTTGGGGCCATACAATTAAATTATTATCTATTGCATGTCCTTTTTTTGTGTAATTTTACTATATGCTTATTTTATTTATTAAGGTATACTTCTGTAGAACGTATAACATTTAGATTCTATCAAATCTAATCCTTGATCTATCATATGGAAATTGATATGTCATATGTGCTAAATTACTTCAATCAAGTCAAATGGAACTGACAGTTGATTTATTGTAATGTTGAAATCAACTGGGAACTTTACCTGTTTATTACTATACTTATATTACAAATGTGTGATGTTTTTCCTTTTAGTAAACTTGACCACATGATTGTATTGGAGGCCTTGATATGGCATTCATGATGACCATACCAAAATGAAAATGAAAATATTCATTAATGATTTCATTTTTTCTGGCCATGAATTAGTTTTTTAAGGTTTGATATGATAAATTAAATCACTTTCTGTGTAAATTTCTATTGCTTGCTATATATGTATCTTAGCATAGAATTAAATGTGTTTTGGTCCTGATTGCATTTCATTGAAATGTGTTATACCAATTTAAACATAATATTTCTCAATTGATTTTTTTTTCTTTACCCTGTAAATAGTATTTTATATTTTTCATTGAAAAGAAAGAATAATGCTGGCAGCAAAAAAAGAAAAAGAAAGAAATAATTATATGAACACTTCCTGAATTTTGAGTCTAATGTAATTGTAAATTGCACTTCCATGGATTTCTTATGTTTCAGAATTTCCCTAAATTTTTCTTCCGCAGATTATTGCCATATCATGTTGTGGCAGACTATGAAGAAGAAGAGGATGATAGGATACTTGATTCTGACACCACTGGCCAGATGCTTTCACGGTCCCAGCAGTGGGATAATAATATAGCTGCTAAAATTGCTGAATTCACAGCAACTTTTGAGAAACAAGCACTTGCCTTCAACATAATAACCCAAAAGAGAAGTGTGGGGGAGTTCCGGTCCGAGGAGAGATTGATGATTGAGCAGGCACTTCTCCAAGAAGAAAAACGGGCTAATTTTGAATTAAGAGCAGAACTAGAGTCCAGGGAGAAGGCTGGTCGTGAAGCACACGAGGCTAAACTACGGATGGCAGCAATGTTTCAAGCAGAACAGGCTCGTGCAGATTTACAGTCTCATGCTGAAATGATGTCTCGAGTGCCAATGAGAGGGAGTGCACTTGGTTCCCAAGGCAACGACATTGTGATTGGCCATGACATGGGAGAGCAGGATCAGGGAAGTAACCCAGGTGAGATGATTAATGGATGGGGAAACAATGCACAGAGAGATGAGAAGGAGCCATCTGAGGATTTCTTGAATGATGAAGCCGAGAATGGAGACACTGGAACGCAGGATGGCTGGCGTGAAGTTGGTGAATTTGATTTGAATGCTAGGTGATTCTCGATAGTGATTGACCAAAACCTTTCAGGAGAGTTTAAATTATGTGTTAAGGGATCAATATCCATTTTAAAGAATTATTATCCTGGGTATCAATCATCATCTTCAAGTTAGTATCTTAAGATTACTTTCTCGATCAAAATATTTAACAAGGGCGCAAGGAAAACTATTGAATCAGTATCAGATTGGATAAATATCAATGTTTATACTCTTTGACTAGTGTAGTGCACATGGTTGGATGATGATTAGGTCCTCACGAGTGTTATATAAGCATACAAATTCAGTCAAATGTATATCTTTTGTTTTCTGGGGAACTCTGGTTTCATCGTTTATGCGTCTGATTTTTTCAGGTTGCCATCAAATCTTTACTGTCATTCTTATAAAAGTCGAAGAATTTTTATGATGTGGATTTCGTTGTGGGATAGTAGGGGTAAAATCTCTAACTATTGTTGTCAATGAAACTGTTTGATCATGTTTGGGGAACAAATTAGCCTTGTCACGTGATAGAAGAAAAAAAAAATTAATATAAGTAATGAAGTATTAAAACACTGTAAATGTTCAAAAATTCTGTACAAATAACAACTCTTTTGGCAACGCTTACATCGACAAAACGTGTTCGGGTACCCATATCTTTTTTAGATACTTGTATGTATATGACAAATTGACTTTTTACGTACTGGAAGTAGAATTAAATTTCAAGAAAGGCATTTTGTTAAGGGAAGCTTAATTTGTTGATTGAGATGCATAAAGTCGAAGAGGTGGTGTAGGGACGTAATGTTAAATGCAATGGGATCCTAAAAAGTTAGGACAACGGGAATGATAAGAGAAAATACAATCACAAAATAAGATAATTTTGCTGAATAATTTGTTGTTGAAGACACAAGACAATTGTTGATTAGCAATTTGTTGTCGAAAATAGAAGACATTTATCCAGTGAATATTTGTCATCGATAATATGAGAAAACTATCTACTAAGGATTTGCTGAGGACAATATCAGACAATTTTGTTGATTGAAGATTTGATGTTGACAAGAAAAAATTCTCGAGTAAAGATTTGCTGCCGATAGTATAGAAAAAAATTGTTAACTGCTTTGTTGTTAACAATGTGCAACAAATTTATCAATTGAAGATTCATCGCTGATAATAGAGAATCAATCCAAAACTTGGCATTGATTATATAAATCCCTTGTCATTTTTGTGTTTTCTTGTCAACAAGATAAAGATTTGGTGGGTTTGTCTGAAGCTCGTAACATTTTTGCTGATGAGAGAAAGCACATCGACAGTGATGCAGGAAAAAATGTTAGTTGGAGAAAGTACATTAACAAATTTGACAGTAAAGGATAGTTTGCTAATACAACGATTAGATAAACCAACAATCAGAGAAAAATGTCAATATAAAAGAGTAGCTGTGATGTAATTGTTATAATAAGCACATGAGCAAATTGATACAACCAACAAAATCAATTTATTTGTTCCATCAGATGTTTGAACTTCTCATAACAAGAGAAGTAATTTTGATGTTGTAATGCGGCCACAAACACTATCAAAGCTTTAGGGAGAAGGAAGTTACAAGAAGTAAGTAGTGGGTGAGGTGACATTTAATATTTATCAATGAATTCAAATAAGAGAAAGTTTTATAAGATAATGATTATTCGTTTAATATTTGCTCAAAATGCAATTTTCTAATCGTGTAATTTAAATTCAACTTTGTAAATGGTTGTTAGGGTTCAAAAGAGTTATCTTTTGCTTATAACTAGCACCTAGAACACGAGCTCATTATCTTTAGAACTTTATTCTTTAGCGCTCTTTATGTTTCTCTTATTTTACTTTTATTGCTTATTTATCTGCTTTCTCTTTATCTTTTCAAGTTCATCTATTTTTAGCACTTTGCTCTTTAATTTCTTATTAATTTTTTTTTTACAAACCTCTCTATTAATCATTTTTTTTATCAAATATTTTCTTTACCCTTTTATCAAAATAATATTATTTTTGCGTCAATCAAATTTTTTTTTATCTTTTCACACATCATCAATTTGATAATTTTTAAAAAGTTTAAATATATTTTTAATTTCTCAAATTTAACGTAAATTTATTTTTAATTTCTTAAAACTTTTTGATCTCTGTAATTTAAAAAAAAATTCTTTTTTAAATTCTTATACTCAAATTTTGTTAAAAAATCTATCAAATACTTATACATAAAATTCACATATTAGTGTCCTTATTAGTAAAAATATCACATTAAATATAACTAATGGTATATAACAATCTTAGTTTGTCTCACATATTTAAGTCTTTTCAAAACTAAAAAAATGTTATTATATAACTTGAAACTATAACAACAAAAGAATCTTATCAGGTTAAGTAAAATTTACTACATGAATCATACGATACTGTTTAACACAATTGCAAACTAAAACTTTAAAAATATTATTTTCTATAAAAAATTTTATTATATAAACACTTCGTGACATGAAATATAAAATACAAAATTCCCAAACTCTTGAATAAAATTTTTATCACAAACAAGTTGATAATTGTTCAAATATGAATGCTAACAATGTTCTTTAATATATTTTTTAATTCCTATTTATAAGGCCATCTCAACTAAGAAAGACTCATTGAATAAGACATAAAATTGATAAAATTTATAATTTTTAATAAATTTTTATGATAAATAAAGTGTTAGAAATAAAGTATAAAAAGTATAAAGTATTAAAGAGAATGTCATGACATTGCTCTTGTTGGGAAGACAAACTCACGTTGACAAAAAAACCTCGACAACAACACGATACAGAAGATCTAGGCAAAGTCTCTTAACCGACTATAAATAACCTTACCCTGCGGTTCACGCAGAATTTGATTACAGAAAATGTGCATTTTCCGAGTAAAGTGTAATGTAACAGTACCGTCTCAAGGTTGATAAGAATCTTAGTAATTTAATTATTGTTCCGGTATTGGAGACCGCCGCCGAAGAACCCTTAGCGATACCGAGCTAAAAGAACTTGACAGCAGTCTTGACCTAGAACATTCGATGAGAGTAACCTCTGCCTTAGACCTAATGATCGCTATACGTAATGGTGTCGCGTTTATGAATTGCTCACTCCTCTTTATGATCCCATTAATCACGCCTCATTATGGACTCGTAACTTCCGGTATTTATTATCGTTCCCACGGATCATGGGATCTTATTGATTGTCTGAGTGAGTCAATGAATCTTCCCACATTTGGGTCCGTATTATGGGCTCGTCCTTTTGTCGATGTGTCTCGGGTCGGCCAATGGGAGACCACCACGGTACATAACCCTCAATGCTCGAGCACTAAGGTGCGAAGAGCATGTTAGATCAATATTTTGCCGACCTACTTCGGGTCGGTTCATGGGAGACCACCAAGGTACATAGCCCTCCATGCTTGAGCACTGAGGTGCGAAGAGCATGTCAAATTAATATTTGCCGACCTACCTCGGGTCGGCTCATTGGAGACCATCAAGGTACCGTCTCAAGGTTGATAAGAATCTTAGTAATTTAATTATCAAAAAAAAAAATCTTAGTAGTTTGTGTCTTCATCATGTCCAGTTTTTCCACGTGGGATAGTGGGAAATTTTGATAGCTAAAAGTTTTATTATACGTCATAATAATGCTTAAATGCGTTGTATATGTCTCTACTCTCTAACTCGATGTTTATTATGGTGTCAAAAAAATACTCGATCCTTTTGACTTTGATGATTATAAGACATCCTCGCATCCATCATACTCAGTTAGTGATCCTTTGACTTTTTAGGGTTTTATACTGCGGGAGCATTAACACAACGCAACCGAATAATTATAATAATAAAGGACCACATAAATTTCCTTTTATGGTTATAAAAATTGAACTTATTGGACCTATAATTTCATAGCACAAACCTAAATTTAGAGGATCAAAAATAAAAACTTTAAGCGTCAAAATTTAATTGCCTGGTACGACCACCCTATCTCCAACCGATGGTCCATATTGCCAACCAACAGAAACCTCCCACATGATTAAGCTGTCGCGAAACAACATATTGATGATAGTAAGTGTCATTCTGTGATATATATGACAAATGTCTATTTTACTCTCTTCAGTATAAAGAACAAAGTAATTTTTTTTCCTTCTATTTCTAAGACCAATATGCATTCATCATCTTGTCATTTTTAATACGCAGCCCTCTCGTTCTTTCCTTAGTAGCACACATTGCACAAACTCGAAATATATTGAGCTAATTACAGAGAAAATAAAGAATGAGTAAGACAGTGAAGATTTGTCAAATGTAAAAAACCAAAGTATTCACAAACTTGACAGCTTCTACAAAATATTAGGCAGCTGAGAATCCAATCTATGCTGCAATTCCCTGATCTTCACAGAGAGTTCCGCCTTTTGCTCCTTGTAACTCTGGAGCAAGTATTCTTTTCCTTCTATTACTTCTTTCAACTCTCCTACTTGCCTTTTCAGCATTTCAATTCTCTCTTCCTCATCCCTTAGCTTTTCAGAAGGTTCAGAATTATTGTCCCCATCAAGATGCCCATTTGAAAGGCCACCATTTCTTATCTCAGGAGGCAAAGCTGTGACCTTGGAAGATTTGTCATGGGGAACATATCCAACACAGTGATCTGCAATTGCTTTCCTTAGCCGTTGGATCTCTCTCTCAGAGTCAAATAAGTCCCTGTTTGTAGCATCAAGCTGCAATTGCAAATGAGAAGAAAGCCCCATCTGAGAATTGAGTGAATTTTGCAATTCAGCCATTTGATCTTGCATTTCTAGTATCATATCATCTCTTCTCTTCAACTGTTGCCGCAGTTTCTGTATGACTTCCCGCTTACTAAAAATATCAGAACCAGATTCTGATACGCATGGTGAATCTGAGCAGTTTGAATGGTGGAATGGCTTAGAAGGCAATTCAAGATGATCAGGAGAGCATGCCCAGACAACACCATTTTCTTTGCTAAATTCAGCAGCTGCAGCAGGAACAGTCACCAAAGGGAGAGCCCCATCATACTCATTCAGCATCTGCATCTGGCCATTTGGTGGGCACTTTAGCTCCATGTTACCTCCAGTTCCTGTCCAAAACATGGCCACATTGATAGTCGAAATCTAAGTCGGATGCAAAACAAAACAACAAAACAAGCTCAAATATTTAGGGCTTGGTATCAGCCCTATAAAACAAACCATTTATGAAAGGAATTAGAGGAATAATATCAGAGAATGCAAAATTACTTTCACGAACTACAGTCACCAATTATTTGCAAATGACTCGTGGATAAAGTTGACAGCAGTCAACTTCAAATGGAAGCCTGTCAACTCTTAATACTTAAGAACAGGTAAATCCAGGATTTCTTTAAATATCTGAGCTGTTTAGTTTGCATCTCTTTGCTAGTAAAGAGAAGAATATCTGCTGATACCAAATAAGAAGTTTTATCAACGTAACTGCAATTATTCTGCAGCAACCACTGAGCTAAAATTTGATTCAGCATGTTTAGCTCATCTGCTTAATTAGGACATAGTTGTGTCCATTCCCACTGTTTCTTATGAGTGCAGATAAATAAGTTGCATCTGCACACCACTTCATACATCTCCAATTTCATGAGGAAATTCTGTGCATGAGCACAAGTAACAATGACATGTTCAGTAGCAGTGCTAATGATCTAGAACTGGGAGCAGAGATAACAAATAAATAAAATGTGAATAAAACTATAAAAATAAAGATGAGTTGGCAGATATTTGATGGGCAATAAACATCATGAAACATGAGGTATACAGACAAGTGGAATTGGAAGATGCACCTCTAACACAGTACTAGATATAGAACAAGACAGACTAGGATAACGAATTCAGTTAACAGGTCTTAGCAAATAATAAATAAATAAATAAAAAGCATAACATGCTACAAGCAAATATCCAACATAAATCAAATTTGAGAAACAAGATCCTACTGGAAAAATAAATTTTCTAAATAAGAAGAAAGAAAAGTACAAGCAAAACCTACAACTAGTCATCAAAACTCAGCAAATCAAAAACGTCTTTGAAGCACACAGTAAACCTGAAATGCAACTGAAGCATCCGTGATTATCTTGCGCTTGGGAATATCCATTAGACTGCATAAAGCAGTCTGCAGAGTTCTTTGTGTTGGAGGATTTTCCATTTCCTGAAGTATCAAAAAGATATGAAGTTAGAATCCACTATAGTCAAAGACACTAAACCTTTTTGACTATTACGTTTATTTTCCCATTTTAGATAAATAATTAATAACAAGAAAGGGGCAATGCAGAACAGGAAGATTGGTAACCCTCAACAGTACATAAAGACCTTTCTGAACAGTTGTTGCATTCTGCTTCGGCTTCGAGTCAAGTGCCTGCTTCAACTTGTAACCAAGACGAATGGATAAGGTACTCAACAAAGCACCGGCAGCAAAAATAACCCAGTTAGGCCCTTCAACTTGGATATTATTTGCCTTATGATTATGAGCTCTCGACACCCCGTTGGTTTGTGGCTTCATTATAAGAGCTAAAACAACGGAACAAAACTTTATGGGTTGTCCAGGAATAACCTACACAAACAATTACGACAACTTCATCACCTAATGACACACATTCAAGATATACACGCCTAACAACACACAAACGAATAAAGTATATTTAAAAAACTCATTACATAGTAACTTCTGGTATTCACCATTAAAATAAAAACAAAATTCCCTATTGATATTTATGATGTATATTCATTAATATTAATATTAATACTCCTCATCTGAAAATATTAACCCCTCTCCTATATTTCCTCTTCCCCTATTTAGGGCTCTATCCACCATGGCCGTTTCCCCCGAAAAATCGTTAAAAAAGATTCTAACTTTCGGGCAACATAACAAATTAAGATACATTCGCACTTGTGGGTTCGACATCTTAGAAAAACTTTTAAAAAAACACGAACATGCAATTCCCCTCAAAGATCTCAACCATTTCCTTGCTTAAACCCTTCTCATCGTTTCCCCCCCTCATTTCGCGCCTTAGATCACACATCACCGCAACCCACACTGAGCCAATCGAGAAACGCTCAATCGGAAGCAGTGACAGCAAGTATTGAAAGAAAAGGCATAACAACAAGGAGAGAGTGAGAAGGGAAAGTAGGAGAAGAAAAGAGAAAGAGAGAGCACCTGAGAGGACTAAGAGCACATGGAGGTGGCTGTGAACGATGAAAACAGAGTGGGAGTGGAAGGAGCCAAAGCCAAAGGGTTTTTGCGCATAGCGGCTAACCAACTGAGACAAGAGACAGAGTGGGGGTGTGGAAGAGGATGAGAGAGAGAGAGAGAGAGAGAGAGAAAATATATATTTGACTGGTAAAAAAGAAAAACAATATATCGCGAAAAAGAAGAATATTGTTATCGCTTCCAAGCTACGAACACAACATGCTTTATTCGCTGTGCCTGTGCCTGTGCCACACACATCCTTATAATACCTGTTTTTTTCTTTTTGTTTCCGAATTTTTAAATCCTAATAACCTATGCATAAATTCTTGGACTCTAATGTACCAAACAATAATGACAATTCATGCATAAAAAAACAATTATGATCCTTTTATAACCGAATAAATTTCTGTGTAATTTTTTTTTTTAAAAAGTATCGATTACTTTTAATTTTAAATTCTTTTTCGGCATCTTTTTTTATTTCTAGCTTGTATTCTCTTTTGGTGATAATCTTACTCGAAAAATTATAGGACATTATGTAAGATTTTATTTTTAGTAGGAATTCATATCTTCATCTGTTACATTGTGAAAAAATTAATTTTTTTTTGCTAGACTATTGACACCTCTAAAATGTTAACTATGAATAATAATAACTATGAATGTATGATTTTATTGCATGAATCTAGGGGGAGATGTATGAATGAATGATAAGGGACTCACGTAAAGATTAATATATGATTTTATATTTTTTTTCTTTTTATTTATTTGTCATAATTCATGTCACACTCTAGTGGAGATTCCTTCTTATTAAGATACAGATATGTCAGTTGTTCTTAAGGAGCCTAAATCTTATCATGGATGAGATAATGTAAGATTTTCGTCATGGATAAAATTCTCAATGTTCGAATGGAGAGGTTATAGATGAGAATGCAAGAAAAAAACAAAATAAGATGATACAGAGTGACCATAATACTAAATATGTATGTTAGTGACACATAAAAATCGAAACTTAAGTTGTATTCTGGTATATATAATAAAGCAAAGTGTGTACATTACTTTTGTTGCTTTTAGTTTTACCGTGTGTTTGGAAATATGTTATCTATCTTTACCGTAAAATTGATTAACTTTTTTCTTAAAAAAAAAATGCAAAACAAGTTTTTATATTTTCTTTGAGAGGGTTCGACAACAAGATTTTATATTCTTTCTGTTATTTTGATAAAAATAAAAAAGATTATAAAGATGATTATAATAAAAGTTAAACCTAGGTCTTCATGCTTCTAACTACTACAGTCTTTTAATTACTGGGCTAACTCTAGTGATTTTTATATTTTTTTTTGATCGTGAATGTGTAAGTTTTTATATTTATGGTGTATTTAGATGAAATATTTTAGAATTTTATAGAATTCAAAATTTTTAAAATTTAAATTACTTTGATTTTACTTATTATTATTTTTAATATTTTATTTAGATAAATTAATTCAAACTTTTTAAATTTAAAATTATTAGTTTAATATGTTATTTTGATTTCCACCAGAGTTTAAATTGATTATATATATATATATTATTGAGATTTTAAGATTAAATTTTATTTAAAAAATATTAATTAATTTTTAAATATTTAATAATTTTAAAAATTAATATTACATAATATTTAATAATTTTAAA